GCGATTTCCAATCGAGAGGTTGCGGGTTCGATTCCCGACGATTATGGTCACACTCGTCTTTCTTCTCTTTCTCAGACTTCTCCTGACTTTTCTTTCATTTTCCTGGGTGGCTACCAACAGCCAGTGCCAGGGGCGGATCCAGGGGGGTGCGAAGGGTGCAAATGAACCCGTCAGGATTTTTCCAAAAAAAAAAAAAAAAAAAAAAGGTCAGGCCAGGCCAGGCCCAGGCTCGCTGCGCGGATCCGCGGATGATTTGTGTGCAATCACGTGATCAGGACGTCAGGACAACGATCGACAGACGACACTTTGGAAATGCTGCGCACCAAAGTAGAAGAGAAGCACAAGGAGTGGTACGAAGCTGTGCAGAAGGTTGCTGATGATGCTGGCATCGAGTTGAAGGCACCTCGCGCATGTGGGAGATCAGTCCATCGGGCCAACCCTACCGTACCAGGTGCATCAGCAGAGGACCACTTCCGCATCACCATCACCACGCCTTTACTTGATTGCCTTCTTCAAGAACTCCACGCTCGCTTCTCCGATGCCCAGAGCGCAGCAGCGTCTGGTCTTGTGGCAGTCCCAGCTGTCATGAAGAAGACAACAGATTGGAAGGCCTCCCTGAAACGCTTCATCGACCAGTACAGCGAAGACATGCCAGCACCTTCATCTATTACGTCCGAGCTCGACAACTGGTGGGTGAAGTGGAGCCGCGTGGGTGAAGACTCTCTGCCCTCCACTGTTCAAGCCGCACTCCAACAGTGTTGCAAGCACACTTTCCCCAACATCTTCGCCACACTAGCCATTCTAGCTGTGATGCCGATCACGTCTTGCGAGTGTGAGCGAAGCGTGTCGGCCCTGCGGCTCCTTAAGACCTACCTCAGGAGTACAATGGGACAGAGTAGACTAACCGGGCTAGCTCTACTCCACATCCGCTACGACTTGGCTGTTGATGTCACTGACATCGTCGACATGTTCGCCCTCAAGCACCCACGGAAGATGAGGATGACCAACATTCTCCAGGATGCGGAGTGAGGAATGGAACAGCCGCCCTGAATTCTGACTAGAGTTGACATTGTGTATATAGCATGTACATAGCATAATCTGTGTCTGACTGAGAATCATACCGGTAACAGTCGTAAATTACTTGTAAATTTTGACATTCAATGTGTAACTAATCATACTACTCATCTTGGTGCTATGTGTAATTATGATATTATACAGTAACACACATAACATACTATGTCTTTGGTTTACTACTGCAAAAGAAAATATGTAAGTTTCATCCTCGCACCCCTCAGCTTTGGGGTCTGGATCCGCCCCTGAGTGCATGCCGGAGTATGTGGTGTGATGTGTGTGCGGGAAAAAAAGAAAGAAAAGACTAAAATGTAGGGATTCACTGGCCAGAAAGAGCCACTTCATAACTGTGTCGTGTAGACCAGGCTGAATAGTGACGGTCAATTCTTCAGCCTTGTAAGTTGTTGAATGGTGCAATCCCAGCACAAGCTGCGATGGCTTCTGCTGTAGCATCGCTATCATCGCCTCTGGCGATGGGCGTCCAATGGTCCAATGGTGTGTCACAATGTGTGTGTGTGTTTGTTTGTGAAGCACCAGGTATGGGGTTGGTGATTATAAGATAGTTGATCAGGTGATCAGGTGCAGATGAGAATCTCTCTTAGTGGTGGTGGAGTAGTACAGGTCTGAGGGGATGTGCTGTGGGTCAATACAGGTCTGAGGGGATGTGCTGTGGGTCAATACAGGTCTGAGGGGATGTGCTGTGGGTCAATACAGGTGAGATGGAGTTACATTAGGAGCATCGATTAGCAATAGCTGCTGGTGCGTGTGGAAGCTAGAAGTGGTAAAAGTGGCAAGATATACACAATAGGACAATGCACACTCCTACTGTAACTCTTGCTCACCTGTCAGTGTATGACACCGCAGCTCACCTGTCAGTGTATGACACCGCAGCTCTTCCTCTGTACTACCCCACAGCCACTACGAGATATTCTCAGTGTATGACACCGCAGCTCTTCCTCTGTACTACCCCACAACCACTACGAGATATTCTCAGTGTATGACACCGCAGCTCTTCCTCTGTACTACCCCACAACCACTACGAGATATTCTCAGTGTATGACACCGCAGCTCTTCCTCTGTACTACCCCACAGCCACTACGAGATATTCTCAGTGTATGACACCGCAGCTCTTCCTCTGTACTACCCCACAACCACTACGAGATATTCTTAGTGTATGACACCGCAGCTCTTCCTCTGTACTGCCCCACAACCACTACGAGATATTCTCAGAGTATGACACCGCAGCTCTTCCTCTGTACTGCCCCACAACCACTACGAGATATTCTCACACGCACCTTCTCATCACTGCCAACTTGCTATTAACCATGCTACCACCTGAAGCCAGCCACTCTTTATCCATTAGTGATGTTGTTCAGAGCAACGACACGTCTGCAAAAGTGTTTGTAACTCTATAACTCTTGGTCCGAAAAATAATTGTATTCTGTGGCACAATGAGAGGGCAAACCGACGGCTTTTCTATCAACTTGAACTCGGAATAGGTTGTTTTTACTTTGAAGTAGTACCTGCCAGAGGAGTTTTTTTTTTAATTTTGAGAAGTCTGAGCTTGATGACTATGCTGCACGCATGTCTACTGTGTAAAGTTGTATCCATGTTATTACTGTAGTGTTACTAGTGACGTGTTGTACCATTACCATACTCTGCACTAGTATGTGTGTTGTACCATTACCATACTCTGCACTAGTATCTGTGTTGTACCATTACCATACTGTGCACTATGTGTGTTGTGATTGCTACACAGGGAAAGAAAGCAGCAGCGGCAGTGCGCCGACCCATGCTGCCGCTTCATCTGGGTGGAAAGATTCCCAGGAACATTCGCCAGCGAGTGCTGGACCAGTTTTTCGACCTGTATGTTGCCCAAGGCATGGCTAGCACTGAAGCTCACGACTTGGTAAGTCTGCTTGTAACTTGCATACATGAGCCGTGATCTGTTAAACTGACCCATCGCTTTCGCCGAGAAATGGAGACAGTCATGTCTTTGTACAATGACGGGGAAATGGTCGTATCAATAATTTCGCAACCATCCAACTTATTCCCCGGTGCCTGGTTCTGTAATGCAGGCAGTGCATTGAGCTATACCCTGTGTGCATAGCTGCATAATCTCAGGGTTCTGGGTTCTTGCTGGTATCTATGCCTGCCTGGAGGCATTCTCATAAACCCTACACTGTATCAGCAAAAGCTTAGCATGTCCAACACATTATTCCACTGCCGTTGTGCAACACATTATTCCCCTGCCAGTGCGCAACACATTATTCCCCTGCCGTAGTGCCTTCCACACAAACACAATCTATGCAATGTAGCCTGTGCAGAGTGGTATTCATGTGCAGTGTTGCTTGAGCCCTGACCCTTGTGAAGTTGTCCTTCACTGCTTCTATTCAAATTGCCTCTAGTAGTACTGGCTACATGTACATGGTGTTTTGTCATGACTCACCTACTGTAGGTATGTGTGTTTGTGTACGGCTGTGTGTGTGTGTGTGTTTGTGTACGGCTGCTGTACGTGTGTGTTTGTGTACGGCTGCTGTACGTTTGTGTTTGTGTACGGCTGCTGTACGTGTGTGTTTGTGTACGGCTGCTGTACGTATGTGTTTGTGTACGGCTGCTGTACGTGTGTACGTGTGTACTTGTTTGCTCTGTGCAGGTGATGTCAGAAGAATCAGTCATATTCAAGCGTGCCACAACGCGGCAGCTCTACAACAACCTGACGGCTGTGAAGCTCGGTCGTCTGCGTACTCAGATCCAGAACTCTTCTGATCAAGGGAGTGATGGTGGCAGCGCAATGCGTTCGTCACAAAATGTCTCTGAGGGCAATGGCAGTGGCATGTTCAAGAAATCCGCGCACCGCGTTGCTGCCACACCGTCCTGGTCCACAAGTGCACAGTCCACAACGGTTGCACGTGATAAACAGCCCGTCGCTGCTGTTCAATCCAGATCCGCAAACCCCGCTGGTGGCGGCGATCTCTTTGCATCACCCAGCCCAGCCGCAACATCCAGCAACGCTGCACATCGTAACAGTGTAGCACGTGCTCGGACGGTGGACAACAGTTCTAGTGCTAGTTCTGGTGTGGGTGCTGGGCTTGGCAGGGCAAAGCTTAGTATCAGCGGTAAGAGCGTCAATCCCTCTCTTGCTGCGGCCATGCAGGACCTAGTGGCCGTCCACGATAAGGCAGCGGTAAAGCAGTCGCGCACTGGCCAGCTTCACTCGGCTACGGGAACAAAGCGGAAATCACGTCCTGAAGATGATCTGCTTTCCGGTCTCCTGCCGTCCGCGAAGAAATCGTCACTTTCTGCCGGCCCTGGCAGAGCCGCTGCATTGAGTAGTATGAAAATACCGAAGGTCAAATCCACGGCTAGCTCATCAGTGAGTACAGCCAGTGCTAGTTCATCATTCACATCATCAGCATCGTCATTGCCACGGCCTAATGTGCCAGGCAGGTCCAGCACCAAAGCAGCACCGAAAGTAAATGGATTGGGCCAGAGAGCCACATCTTCATCAACAGCTGGTACCAAGAAAGCTGCGGCTGGCAACTCAAGTAAACGCAAGGCCAGTCCACTACCATCACCGACATCAGCAATGACAGCATCAGCAACATCACTAGTGGCATTTAGTCAATCTGGAGCAGGTGCACGCAAGGCTAGCAAGCCTGTTCAAGAAGAACTCAGTAAGAATTTTAGTATGCATCTGTGGCGCAATGTTTTGGAGTGTTTGATTGAGTTTTGTAATATATTCTGGGTACACAATTCTAAGAAGATCTTACTGCATGTACTTCTATATCACAGTGCCTCTTTGTCTTCTGTTATGTGCTGTATGTGACCGTATGTAGCCGAAAGCCAGTTCTACGCATTCTTAGAGCAGTATATAGCAACAGAGCGACAGCTACATGACAATGGCTATCCTCAACCAACTCAGGTACCTAGCAAAGCGATCATACCGCATATTGAAGGTCGGCGAAAACCGCATCCTCCACAGATCTTGTCAGCAGAAGGTACATGTACCTATATGTCCACTACTTGTAGTGTAGTTTGTGTGCTGGTGCTGTTGCTGCCACTGCTGCTGTTGCTGCTGCTGTTGGTGGTGGTGGTGGTGCTGCTGCTGCTGCATACTCAATGTAGGTGTGCTACTGGTGTTATTTTCGTTTCATCAGCACATGTGCATGTGTACAGGTTGCTGCTGTATGTTCGTTCTGTTCTTCTCAACAACATTGTTGTAGCATGGCGAGAATCTGTATGGTGGCTGTTTTGCACATGTGTACACGGCTCGTAAATCGTATAATGCGTTCTACTTTGAAGTAGAACTTCTCATCCCAGCTTTGCCTGCTTCCATTGTATATTGCAGAGGTACGATATTTCTGCTCACGCTGTGGAACTCCATTTGTGGTGAAGCGTAATGAAGTCTATCAAACCGAAACATGCACGTATCATTTTGGACGGGCACACAAGCATAGAGGTAAGCTGGAGAGAGAGAGAGAGATAGAGAGAGACGGACACGGACAGACAAACAGACAAACAGACAGACAGACAGACAGACAGACAGACAGACAGACAGACAGACAGACAACGAGAGAGACAGAGAGAGAGAGAGAGAGAGAGAGAGAGAGAGAGAGAGAGAGAGAGAGAGAGAGAGAGAGAGAGAGAGAGAGAGAGAGAGAGAGAGAGAGAGAGAGAGAGAGAGAGAGAGAGAGAGAGAGAGAGAGAGAGAGAGAGAGAGAGAGACAGAGAGAGAGAGAGAGAGAGAGAGAGAGAGCCACAGAGGGTACTTACAAGTGCATATATTATTATTATTATTATTATTATTATTATTATTATTATTATTATTATTATTATTATTATTATTATTATTATTATTATTATTATTATTGACTGGTTTGAGGGAAAGAGACAAACGGGAAAAGTCTGAAGAAAAAATTGACTGTCACCACCAGGACTCGAACCAGGGACCCTCGCTTGTAGCCAGCGATGCTCTAACCACTGAGCTATGGTGTAGTCGTCATCCCAGCAGAGGCCGTTCAACCTTTTCTTCATATTATTATTATTATTATTATTATTATTATTATTACAGTCGTCCCTCTCTAATCCGGCACTTGTTTATCCGGAACCCTTGCCAACCGGCGCACTTTCTGACGAAACCGATTTTTTTCGTTCAATTCCTACATCTTAATCCGGCACTTGAATTCCGCCTCCGGCAGTGACTTTTTGAAACGAATCGCTCAAACTGCACGTAGTTTGATTTCATAATCCGGCAGTTGTAAATCGCGTACCGTACATATGCACTCCTTGCCAGGCCAGGCTAGGCCAGTCTGGTCAATGTTGTCCAGGAGACAACGGCTAAGCAGTCAACCATACTTTCTTATTTTAGCAAGTAGTGTCCTGCCAATTTTCAGGTGTGTGTGTGTGCGTGTGTGCAAGAGTACATGTGAACATGTTCTCTGTTTTACTTTATCACTTTATCACTGTGTATATTCCCGGAGAACAATTGAGAATATAAAGTCGTGCACCAAATACTTGGGTCGACACGGAAAAACCCTGCGTTTTGACGTATGATACATGCATGCAATTGGGTAGGGCCGGGTCAGAGGGCAGGAGCACCCTCGTTAATCCAGCAGAAAACGCCGTAGCAAAAGGTGCCGGATTAGAGAGGGACGACTGTTTATTATTATTATTATTATTTGTTTTACATCGGAAACTCAACAGTGCAGCTGCACAAATATGAAGAGGCCGATGGGACCAAAAATATATACAATGTATATACATCAGTGCAAATGTTTAGATAAAAGAAGAAGAAAAATGGGGGGATGAGTGGTGAACATAAAGAGAAAAGAAGAAAAACGTATGCTGAACCTGGGCAATATATAGCTCTAGAGAGACTAAACGTTGCCAACGTTGTCAAACAAAATTGCACGATATCGTTCAAACCAAACTGGATCATCCAATAAGCACTTAAAACCACGATCGAACTGAGAGGTAAACAAAGAGGATTTCAAGTCATTAGGTAGAGCATTAAAAAACAGAGCGGCACGAAGCACAAAGGATGTTTGACCGAGTGTTGTTCTGCATTTTAAATAAGGGATATCATGTGTGTCGCGACGACGCGTCCACCGGGTAGATTGCGGGGCTGGGAATAATGATGCAAGTACAGGAAAAGGGCGAAGAATATGATACATGAAAATGAACTTCCTAGTTGACACCAGAAAATAGTAGTCCAGGGGCTTAACATCAAGGTTTTTCAGAAGACCAGAAATACTGTCCCGGCTCGAAGCCCCACAAGCCGCTCGGATAGCTCTATTGTACACGCTTACTAGGCGATTGTGATCCTTCGCAGTAGTCAGTGTGACGAAGGAACAGATGCAGTACAGAATGTCAGGAAGAACGACAGACAGGATGTACTGGCGGCGTGCAAGTTTGCTCAGTTGCCGGAAGGTGCGACGTAAGACACCCACCTTCTGGGATACTTTTCTAACAATTACATCAATATCCTTAGTCCATGACAGGCAGTTGTCAACTTGGATACCAAGGAGACGAGTTTTGGTCACAAAATTAAGTGGCTCACCTTGAAGGCTAATGACACTTGGGTGCGTCGTGGGGTTTCCGCTGGGGGAAATGATCATAACACCTGACTTTTTAACATTAATCATCATGTGGAGCTTTTGTAGCTCGTCACATAGTGCATTCAGGCAGGGAATGATGGAGGCAATACACAGTTCGAGTGAGGGGGCACTTCGGTAGAGGGTCATATCATCTGCAAACATGGGAAGGGAACAGGTGAAGGAATCCGCTATGGTAGGGAGGTGGCTTATATAGACATTAAAGAGTACAGGACCCAGAACAGTACCTTGCGGGACTCCACGCGAAACTGGGAGGACTCTGGATGTAGCATGTGGCAGGGTGACTTTCTGCTGACGATCACACAGGTACGAGGCGAACCATGCTAGTGCTGTCCCTCCAATACCCTTGGCTTGCAGTGAAATGAGGAGGCACTGGTGGTTCACCCGATCGAATGCCTTACTTAGGTCTAAAAACACAATCATGGTAGTGTGTCCAGTATCCCGGCTCGCAGTCCACTGGCTTACAGCCTTGGTGACGAGTTGGGCAGTAGAGTGATGGCGGCGGAAGCCCTACTGGTCTTGATGGTATGGGCACTTGTCGTCAAAAAGCTGAGGCTTTTAATCGGCGGAAGGCACTTTTGCGTTGTCGTATAATGTGCAGTGGTTCCTCAGTCATGAAAGGGCATCTTACTTTAGAGGTAGGCCTCCCCGCTCTTCGTGAGACAATTGGCGCGAGTTCATCCAGTGCACAGTTGAACTTCTTCACCCACTCAGCGGCCATTTGGTGGGGGTTAGTGGATGAAAAAGAGTGTAGGGATACCGATTTCAGCAACTTGTGGAATTCCTGCATACAGAACGAACTATAGTCTCGACTGGGCTGCCTTGGCTTGTGGTCTGGCGTGTCAGGCTGCAGGGAAGTGATAGGCACGGAGGTTGTGATGATGCGATGGTCAGAGAATTCACAGTCAAAGACTGAGGCGGTTGTGGCGTCATCCGAATTCGTGAGGATGCAGTCAATAGAGGTTTGGGTTTGCCGTGTAATGCGTGTAGGGGCGTTTACTAAGTTGGAGAGATTAAGGTGCAGGAGGATGGTGTGGTATAGGGCTTTATAGGTACTTGATTGCTTGTCCAGGAAGTTCACATTGAGGTCTCCCAACAAGTACAACTCTTCGCAATCGGCGCAGTCTACAGCTGCAGCAAGACTGTCCCAGTAGTCAATGGACTGACCTGGCGGGCGATAGATGCAGCCGATCAATATCTCGGATCCTCTTTGTGGCGTACATCGTATGCAAAGGAGCTCTAGGGCATCAGGTGAGTAACGTTCGTCCAGGGAAACTCTGAGGGTTTCTTTCACATAAAGGCACACACCGCCACCTTTCTTGCAGGGGCCGCATGCTGTGAGACACGAGCAGTTTGTCATGCATGGCCTATCTCTACGGTAAAGGACGGTTCCACGGATATGCACTTCCAGGTCAGAGACACCGTTATCTAGCCAGGTCTCGGATACGGCTAGTATATCCAGCTTCTGTTCTATCATTATACTTTCAACTTCACACAGTTTGTGACGTAGACTGCGTATATTGATGTGGCCAATGTTAAGTGTACTACTGTGCTGAGTCAGGTGGTGGGTGTGTGGGTGAAACGGAGCGGCGTGTGGATTAAGCTTCATGCTGATCCGATTGGTGTGTTCCAGGGGGTCGCTTGGATATCACTCTCCCAGAAGTCGGCCTGGAGGGTTGTTGCAAGCTTCTGGGATGGGATCCATAGGCGAGCTTGGGGGCTTTGCCCGTCCTGACGAATGATTCTAATGGCTGTCGAGTCGATGTGTACGTCGCGTTGTTTGCAGTGGTCGAGTAGGTCGTTCAGTGATAGTTCTTGCGGGACATTGGTTAATCGGATGGCCTTTCCGAAGTTCCATCGTCTGATGGCGATGTCCACAGGCCGAAACTTTTCAGACATGATTTTGCCGGCGTGGTCTTCGTCGATGGTGAGGCGTGCTTCAAGCGTACCGTAGAACCGCTTTGAGGCATACAAGGTACAGTTTGTCACTGTCACACCCTTGGCCAAACAGATCTGTACAACTTCATGCGTGGTACATGTGGCACCGATTCGAGACAGGTTGAAAACTGCTCTTTTCATTGGCTTTGCACTGTGCAATTCCTGCTGCTTCTTTTCTTTTGGCAGTGCATTTCCCCTGGCATTGGCTTGTTGCTGTAGGATGTCGTACTGCATGGGATTGTTGTGTTTGCCACGTGCGACCTGGTTGTACATGGGATGTGGAGCACGTCCAGCGTGCTGTGCGTAGGTTGACGCTGGAAGGGTTATGGGTACGAGTCGTTCAGCAGAATCTGATCCCCTGGCTTGTGGCCCAGTTTGGGCGGGTTGAGAATAGGTTTGCTTCTGTGTGCATGAACCCCATAGATCTACGTGTGTATCTCGTACAGAAGGTGTTTGTTGTCGTGAACCCAATGCAGCAAGCTCAGGGAAGGTATTTGCGATGTCTTCATCAACAACACTTGGCTTGCAAGAAGGGCAATTCGATGTTTCTGCAGGTTTATTGAGAATGAAATCCGTTAAAAGCTCGACTTGCCTTTTCAGGTCCGAAACAGCCGTCTGGAGGCCAGATAGCGTGTCGTCTGCTGGCTCCATCTCCTCAGGGTTGGGGAAGAACTTGTCGTGTCCCGCCTCCCTCAGCTTTGCAAGTATTTCCGGGCGGTGTTCCCCAGTATTCCAAGGTATCTTGAGGTTTTGGTAGACTTTGCGCAGTCCATCATTGGTCAGTATCGCTAGATCAAGCTTTGGCATACTTTGCCCTTACACTCAGACACTTTGTAGAACTAAAAGGAACCGGTCAAAGAATCGTGAGCGTAGTCAAGGAGCCATGAAAACAGGAGCTCTAAAATCTGCATCCACCTTGCTCTACACTATTCCAATCCATATACAGTACCCTCTACCATGTCTGTGTGCTGTTTTTGTTACTACACAGAGAGTGGTATTATGGTGGCTACCTACTCTTGTTGCTCCACTGATGCTGGATCTACTGGATGCCAGGTTGCTAAGGTATTAGTAATCCCCATTTGTCACTGATATGTGTACTGTTCATGATGCATTACAGTAACGTACTGCATATTCACTGAGTCACTGACCCAAACTGATTCCTATGCATTCAATACCGGTTCTGTTTGGTCAACTGATTATTCACGAGAGATGATTTGCTACCATCCTTCTTACAAGTACAGGTTGCGTATAGCCTACCTGAAAATCAGCATTCTTGTATCGCATCCAGATTGTCAAATGCCCCCTCATTCCGCCGACGTACATAGTCGCTAGTCGGCTTTCGAGATTCTAAAACCTGATTCATGCTCCATTTTGCGTGCTTGAAACACGTATTGTGAAAAAGTTGACTTTGAGCTCATCTTGTTTGGCCCATCGTGCGACCGATGGATTGGGGGGGGGGGGGGGGGGGGCGTTCGTTTTTGATCTACAGGTTTGTGTAGAAACTACTTCTTTCGGTAGAGGGGTTCGGGTTTTTTCTACTCAAAAGGGTAGATTCTACTTTCCTCTACCGGCTCTATCAGGAAAAAGTTGGTAGAAGCCGGTAGAAGTTGGTAGGGCTACGGGATTTCCAGCAAGATCAAGGATTTGTACACAACTCCATACAGAAAAGAAACATTTCACGTACATATCGTGTAAACTACTAAAGCCGGTAGAATAGCGTTCGTGCACTTACCTCTACCATCTACCTCTATCGGTAGAGTGACTCTACTCTACCAGGTAGCTAAAACCGAACGCAGCCTTGCATAGAGGTATACGTAGACTTGTACGAAAACAGTGTTTGTGTGACTGGCCGCGTGGCCCAACGGATAAGGCGCCTGACTACGAATCAGGAGATTCCAGGTTCGAATCCTGGCGTGGTCGAGCTTTTTGTGCCTATTTTATTTTACTGTGCGTTGTTTCCTTGCTCCTGCCAAGAGTGTGCGATTTCTATGTTGAGCTGCGGTGGACTTGCCTGCAGCAGATTGTTTTAGTACGTCATGTTGAGGTGAAACATGATTGTCATGCAATGTGTTCACACACGCACACACGGGGACAGAATTGGTTGGGGAACTGTCTTTCGGGGTGATAACTTCGGCAGTGGAAAGTGTATTTTTTATAGGGGGTACTAAGTCATTGGGGAGAACTAACTTATGGGGAAATACGGTACTAGCCTAGACCGTTTTTATTTTGATGTACTACGGTCTATGCATAGTTGAGTCACAGTGTATACATTAGTATGCTGTGCTTGGTGAAGTCCTAGCCTGTTTGTTCTTCGGCGCCCTGTTCTTCGGCGCTCTGTTCTTCGGCGCTCTGTTCTTCGGCGCTCTGTTCTTCGGCGCTCGACAGTACTGTAGGATATGATTGAATGTATTAAAGCGTAGTCATGTCAACAGTAGTCTCAGCAGCAGTACAAGTACAGTGCTGCTCAATGAAATCCGATCGCGCGAGTCAAGTTTGCACCATGCACCTTTTCTTGCATCCCAGTGTTCACACGTCTAGTCGAGGCTGCACTGAGGAGTCCACAAAGGACGAAACAGCGTGCTGTCCGCAGATTGAGTAGCCAGTGTTATGTACTCTTGTCTTGTCTCTAGCCAGTGCTGGTTGTTGATGGCGATATTGTAGCAGTCTGATAGCTGTTGCGTGGATCTTCTACAGCTGTATGTTGGTTGTAGTTTGTATGGCCGCGTGGCCCAACGGATAAGGCGCCTGACTACGAATCAGGAGATTCCAGGTTCGAATCCTGGCGTGGTCGAGCTTTTTGCACCTCGAATTTATTTTTTAACCTTTTTCCCAGTGTGTCTTGGAAAGTGTGCAGCAGGTTTGTTCACTGGTCTGTTTTCCTGTTTCCTGTGTCCTGTGTCTAGAATCATGTGTGGGACGGTCAGCTACCAAGTGAAATGCCTATAGGTGGCTATGTGACGACAAAATCTATTCCAACATCGAATGATGCGGTGCTTAACAACCCCAAGTGCTTCTCCTTGCTCTCTGCAGAGTTGCTGTGTGGGGATCGCCCGAGAGTGTTGGCATTTGATTGTGAAATGGTATGTCATTGTGTTAGCGTACTGCAGTACTACAGTACTTGTAGCCACAATGCTGTGTCCTGTTCTCTAATCTCTACTCCAGTGAACGGAAGTTGCAGACTAGGAACAATCAGTGAACGGAAGTTGCAGACTAGGAACAATCAGTGAACGGAAGTTGCAGACTAGGAACAATCAGCCAACAATATACTAGTAGTGACAATCCACAAATCTTGCCACTTCCGGTCCGTGGCACTGGACCGGAATTTTTGGCACCGTGCCATAAATTGTGTGGTACATGTATAGTGTGATGTTATTGCCATCCTGCACCTCTCTCTCTCTCTCTCTCTCTCTCCCCCCCCCTCTCTCTTTCTCTCTCTCTTTCTCTCTCTCTCTCTCTCTCTCTCTCTCTCTCTCTCTTCTCTCTCTCTCTCTCTCTCTCTCTCTCTCTCTCTCTCTCTCTTTCTCTCTCTCTCTCTCTTTCTCTCTCTCTCTCTGCCCCATGCACAGACAGACACAGACACAGGCAGACTGACACACGCACACAAACACTTGCCAGCATGCATGTCTTGCATTATCACGCCTGTTCTTATACATGTGTGTGTTTGTGCCTGTGTGTGCACGTGTGTTCATGTACTTGTGTGTGTATGTGTGCTTCCCCACTGTCTGTATATGTTGTTTAGTCGTACACAACCATTGGCCTCTCGCTGACTCGCATCACTGTGATTGACTTCAATCTGAATGTTCTAATGGACACACTGGTAGCGCCCAGAGCACCCGTAGTAGACTATAATACTCGGTAAGAAACTCACTCAGTCTTTGCATAGCTAGCTGTTTCCTAGGGGTGGAACGAGTGCCAAAATTGGGGACTCGAGTACTCTTTGAAAAAACGAGCGAGTGTTCGGGCGAGTACGAGTATTTTGCTGACAACATTAAACAATGTACTGCTCACACTGTTCCCAACTGTCCACCTTGTCAGGTCTCGTCAGCACAGCTCGTAGTCATTGGCCAAACTGATTTAAGCGGCTCAAAGCGTCAAAGTCTGTTCAGATTGCGAGAAACTCAGCGAGCTTTGCACAAAGGCAGGAAACGTTGACACTAGCCATAAAGCGTTCTCAACCAAGCCGAGGCGAGATCAGTAGACTTGTACAGGCCAGCAATGTTGCTGGTTTTTTCGTGTCCACGATACGGCGGCATAGTGAGATAAATATGCACTCACCGTGACTGTGAGCGTGTGTACTGTAGCTGCGGACCTCCCCAAATAACGTGAGGCGCGCGCGCGCGCGTGTGTGTGTGTGTGTGTGTGTGTGTGTGTGTGTGTGTGTGTGTGTGTACATGGTGTGTGTGTATTTGGCATATTATAAAGCAATTTTCTTTTTTCGCGTCATCTACGTCATCTTTTTTTGCATATTACTACTAATAATAAATAAATAAATACAGTATACTAGTAATCAATCAGTAAAATGCAAAGATACCGCTGGAAGCAGTATGCATAGTAGTCTACAGCCAAGATACCAGAAACCGTATCAAACTCAGCACGGGGTTCGAGGTACTAAAACGATTACCAAACTAAGTCAAGAATTGACCATTACATGCTGCATTCTGCCACTGCTAACGTGATCGAAGGGCAGCCGTTGATTCTTGACGCTTTGTGCCGATGACCTCTCAGGGCTGTGACTGCGGCATTGACCAGTGCAAAAGACAGTTGAGTGCGGATGTATGCCATGACGATAGAGAAAGGCTCGGACCTCTTATCGGCCAACATGGATGCAATCCGAGCGTAGAGATTGCCGGCTGCCTTGCCATGACCACCTGTGGTGCTGAGCACGACCGGGATGAATGATCCATGCTCTACCTCAACAACTCTTCTCTCATAATTTCTTCTCTTTTTCCTTTTCGTGCTTGCGGTACACTGCCGGGATTGATGACTTCTGGTTTGAGGGGGCAAATGGGTTGAAAACCCGGACATCAAGGAATGTCCTCTCAAACCGTCCACCATACAATCCACTGACTGCGACATCAAGGCGCGCGTTGTCGTCGGTGATGGTAGATCTCAAGGGGAAGTGTTCCCCCGAGGGAGGCTGGAGATGGGGTTCGACGGCTACATCATGGGCAACTTCCCGGAGAAGGTGGGCCGTGATGTCCCGAATCTCGTTGTGGCGGAGAGAGGGGTAGCTGCCCAGCGAGCAGGACAGGGCATGGGTGGTCGTGAACGACTTTCCACATGCACACGTTGTCGGGAGATGATCCGGCGTCCAGCCATATCGGAGGCATAAGGAGTCTCGAAACGCCGCCTTGTGCAACTTGAAGCCGAAAACTGCAAGTGGCTTGGATGTTAGCCAGCTTGAGGTACCCTTCTCTGACGCGAGGTTCACGGCATACTGGATGTCTGGGTCCAGTTGCTGAAGCAGTGCAGCCATCTGCTCATTGGCCAGTTGTGTTGACTCCTTTCGGACTTCTGATTTCAAGAGCTGCATAGCCACTCGAACTCCGCCGTTGTTGGACTCCTGTCTGAGGATCTTGTCGACAAGAGGTTGCGTGATGATGCTGGACTGACGGAATTGGTCCTCAAGATGAGTGGGGTTGATGAGACCCAATCCACCAAGTCTGCAGGGCAATGACAGTACGGCCCTGATTTGGTCACCAGGCGGACACCGGCCGGTAAGCGCGGGGATGAGCTGAAGACGTACGGCGTCCTCAATGGGCTCGAACACGGACCTGTTGCCGGGATGGTGCGAGCGACAAATGACCATTCGTGCTTAACACCATTGCAGAAAGCCGTGTATGCCGCTTGTGGGTGGCTGAGGGCGTACTGGGAGAGCACACTGATCTCGTGACTCCATTTCTGAACCTTGGTTGACACGTAGGTTTTGCAGAACTCCTCAGTACCAAGGACCGCGCCAAGATGACGAAACCCATCAGTGCGTATTTGGACCTCCGTGTCGGAGAATAGCTTCCTCGCCTCGGCCTCATGCTGTGGCTTCACAAGAAGGACGGATTTCATCGCGTTTGTGTAGTACTCGTACAATGGACCCCGGTCCACAAGAATGGACCACCACTTCCTCAGGCACTTAATGGTGCTTGCTGCGGCAGAGTCATCTGCATACCAGGACTGCAGAGCTTCAGCAAGGGAAGCCTTGCGGATGAGGGGGACCGTACCCAAGGCGTACATGGGCATTGCGAGCAATTTTCTGTGTTTTCGCACGGATTGTTCAGCAGAATGCAACAACTACAGTTTTCAAATGAATACTACTGCACACACAGACTGCAGTATGAGTATTGTGATGTGTTGTGTGTTGACCTGAGCAAACTGATGTACGAGTTCACGTTCACGAGTGCACAACCAAACTTGCAACTTGTACTTGCGTACTTTGTAGATATGAGCACGGTTGGGGGGGGGGTATTGTTTAATGGTTGCTCCTCTGGTATAGACCTGTAAGAAAACCTTGTGTATGACTGGCCGCATGGCCCAACGGATAAGGCGCCTGACTACGAATCAGGAGATTCCAGCTTCGAATCCTGGCGTGGTCGATTTTTTGTGCCAATTTATTTTCACTTCGCTATGTTTCCTTGTTGCTGCCAAGAGTACACAATGCAGTACAGCATTTTGAGTCGAAGCATGGTCAAATGCATTTTCTTTTCCGTGCTGGTCTTGTACAGTTGTGGCAAGTGAAATCCGACACTTGCCATAGGGGACAGCGCCACAAATGGACACCAATGATGTAATGCACTGCACCTAATTTGTACTATAGAGCCGTATAAATCCCGAACAGATCGAAAGGTCACAGCGTAGATACACACAGTTCACAATTATGGTACACATAAGGAGTATTGGTATCCAATCCCCATTCATTTTTGCCAGCACCTTTTGAACCTTGACTGTTATGAGTACGAGTTTTGTCATCAGACAGATAAAGTTGTATGTAACACATGTACTGTACGTATGCAGGGCTGCAGGGGCTGCAGACTGCATGGCGCAGTCCCTTATGCCAAGTGTCGGATTTCACTTGCCACAACTGTAGATATGGTAGAGCATAGTACTCATCCAGGTGATATGATAATTATCTCTACTGTTGCTGTTGCTTATCTTGTTGGTGCAGTTTCAGTGGTGTGACAGATAGTGACTTGAGCGGAGTGTCCACTCGCCTGGAGGATGTACAGGAAGTCTTGCTCAGTCTCATTGGCACTGACACTATACTGATTGGGCACAGCTTGGAAAGTGATCTCAAGGCCATCAAGGTACAGTACAGTGGCAGTGCAGGAAGGAGCAGCTCGTATGTACATGATTGTACAGTATGGTGAAGTCATAAATATATGACTCACTCTACTGTACTGTGTATGCTGTTTGTGTGCTATGCACTGCAACTTCATGTGCTGTATTTTTAAGAAGTTTTTGGCTCATCTCTTTCCTACCCACAATTTGAATGCTCACACAAACACTGAAACACATTATCCAATAGGGAACTTCTTTTCTATGACTTTAATTTCCGTTTGCCAACCAAGGTCCTTGCCCTCGTGCCTAAAACCATCGGGCACCTTTTATTTGAGTCCATGTGTGTGTGTGTGTGGTGCATAATTGTGGTGAATCGAAGAGTGTTTGAATGTAGTATGCTATAATGATTTAGGATTTGTCAATGAAGACACACGTGTGTGTACTTGTGTAGGTCTAATGATGTATCGGGTTTGTTGGTCTGTAGGTTATGCACAATCGCGTTGTGGATACCTCGCTTGTTTTCCCGCACAAGCTGGGGCCGCCGTACAAGAAAGCTTTGAAGACTCTCGCTGCAGAGAAACTGAACCGTGTCATTCAGCAGGACGGTGAGTACTACTGCTCACTCACTCACTCACTCAGTGCTGTTATGGGAGGGGGGGGGGGGGTGGCTTGTTTGAATAATCAGAATCAGATACATTTGAGAGAGTGGGAACGACTCATAGCATCCATAACATGGATCTATCAATCTACAAACAGGGCTGGCCGAGGGTCACTGAAATCTATCTCATTCTGATTCTCTGCTACTACTAGTATATGCTACATACCCTGCAGTACACACCTGCAGTACACACCTGCAGTACACACCTGCAGTACACACCTGCAATACACACCTGCAGTACACACCTGCAGTACACACCTGCAGTACACACCTGCAGTACACACCTGCAGTACACACCTGAAGTACACACCTGAAGTACACACATGCAGTACACACCTGAAGTACACACCTGCAGTACACACCTGAAGTACACACCTGCAGTACACACCTGAAGTACACACCTGCAGTACACACCTGCAGTACACACCTGCAGTACACACCTGCAGTACACACCTGCAGTACACACCTGCAGTACACACCTGCAGTACACACCTGAAGTACACACCTGCAGTACACACCTGAAGTACACACCTGCAGTACACACCTGCAGTACACACCTGCAGTACACACCTGCAGTACACACCTGCAGTACACACCTGCAGTACACACCTGAAGTACACACCTGCAGTACACACCTGAAGTACACACCTGAAGTACACACCTGCAGTACACACCTGCAGTACACACCTGCAGTACACACCTGCAGTACACACCTGCAGTACACACCTGAAGTACACACCTGCAGTACACACCTGCAGTACACACCTGCAGTACACACCTGCAGTACACACCTGCAGTACACACCTGAAATACACACCTGAAGTACACACCTGCAGTACACACCTGCAGTACACACCTGCAGTACACATCTGCAGTACACACCTGCAGTACACACCTGCAGTACACACCTGCAGTACACACCTGCAGTACACACCTGAAGTACACACCTGCAGTACACACCTGCAGTACACACCTGCAGTACACACCTGCAGTACACACCTGCAGTACACACCTGAAGTACACACCTGCAGTACACACCTGAAGTACACACCTGCAGTACACACCTGCAGTACACACCTGCAGTACACACCTGAAGTACACACCTGCAGTACACACCTGCAGTACACACCTGCAGTACACACCTGCAGTACACACCTGAAGTACACACCTGCAGTACACACCTGCAGTACACACCTGCAGTACACACCTGCAGTACACACCTGAAGTACACACCTGCAGTACACACCTGAAGTACACACCTGCAGTACACACCTGCAGTACACACCTGCAGTACACACCTGCAGTACACACCTGAAGTACACACCTGCAGTACACACCTGAAATACACACCTGCAGTACACACCTGCAGTACACACCTGCAGTACACGCCTGCAGTACACGCCTGCAGTACACGCCTGCAGTACACACCTGAAGTACACACCTGCAGTACACACCTGAAGTACACACCTGCAGTACACACCTGCAGTACACACCTGAAGTACACACCTGCAGTACACACCTGCAGTACACACCTGCAGTACACACCTGCAGTACACACCTGCAGTACACACCTGCAGTACACACCTGCAGTACACACCTGAAGTACACACCTGCAGTACACACCTGCAGTACACACCTGCAGTACACACCTGCAGTACACACCTGCAGTACACACCTGCAGTACACACCTGAAGTACACACCTGCAGTACACACCTGAAGTACACACCTGCAGTACACACCTGCAGTACACACCTGCAGTACACACCTGAAGTACACACCTGCAGTACCCGAGAGAAATACTTCGAAGTAGTAACATAGGGGAAGATTCCCACTTCAGGTCTTTTTCAAGACAAAAGAACGTACTTGTGGTGCGGGTAATGCACCTTTGCCTGGACTGGACCGTAGCAAGGGCAGGCAGCTGCAGTATTACCCCGTTACGTCTATGATAGCGGTCCCATACTGAAGCCTTTCTTCTTCTTCTACTTGGTTGCTTGCGAGCACTGTCTTCTTGGCAAGTGCTCAAAAACAGGTCTCTGAACATGTCAACATGTGAACATGGCTGTCAACTAGACCCGTGTGCATGGGTATAGTACAGCAATGAGCAGCAGTCGTGAATTCTCTCAACTCCCATACCACCTGTACAGCAATGAGCAGCAGCTGTGCATTCTCTCAACTCCCGTACCACCTGTACAGCAATGGGCAGCAGTCGTGCATTCTCTCAACTCCCATACCACCTGTACAGCAATGAGCAGCAGTCGTGCATTCTCTCAACTCCCGTACCACCTGTACAGCAATGAGCAGCAGTCGTGCATTCTCTCAACTCCCGTACCACCTGTACAGCAATGGGCAGCAGTCGTGCATTCTCTCAACTCCCATACCACCTGTACAGCAATGAGCAGCAGCCGTGCATTCTCTCAACTCCCGTACCACCTGTACAGCAATGAGCAGCAGTCGTGCATTTCTCTCAACTCCCGTACCACCTGTACAGCAATGAGCAGCAGTCGTGCATTCTCTCAACTCCCGTACCACCTGTACAGCAATGAGCAGCAGTCGTGCATTCTCTCAACTCCCGTACCACCTGTACAGCAATGAGCAGCAGTCGTGCATTTCTCTCAACTCCCGTATTACCTGTACAGCAATGAGCAGCAGTCGTGCATTCTCTCAACTCCCGTACCACCTGTACAGCAATGAGCAGCAGTCGTGCATTCTCTCAACTCCCGTACCACCTGTACAGCAATGAGCAGCAGTCGTGCATTCTCTCAACTCCCGTACCACTTGTACAGCAATGAGCAGCAGTCGTGCATTCTCTCAACTCCCGTACCACCTGTACAGCAATGAGCAGCAGTCGTGCATTCTCTCAACTCCCGTACCACCTGTACAACAATGAGCAGCAGCCGTGCATTCTCTCAACTCCCGTACCACCTGTACAGCAATGAGCAGCAGTCGTGCATTCTCTCAACTCCCGTACCACCTGTACAGCAATGAGCAGCAGTCGTGCATTCTCTCAACTCCCGTACCACCTGTACAGCAATGAGCAGCAGTCGTGCATTCTCTCAACTCCCGTACCACCTGTACAGCAATGAGCAGCAGTCGTGCATTCTCTCAACTCCCATACCACCTGTACAGCAATGGGCAGCAGTCGTGCATTCTCTCAACTCCCGTACCACCTGTACAACAATGAGCAGCAGCCGTGCATTCTCTCAACTCCCGTACCACCTGTACAGCAATGAGCAGCAGTCGTGCATTCTCTCAACTCCCGTACCACCTGTACAGCAATGAGCAGCAGTCGTGCATTCTCTCAACTCCCGTACCACCTGTACAGCAATGAGCAGCAGTCGTGCATTCTCTCAACTCCCGTACCACCTGTACAGCAATGAGCAGCAGTCGTGCATTCTCTCAACTCCCGTACCACCTGTACAGCAATGAGCAGCAGTCGTGCATTCTCTCAACTCCCGTACCACCTGTACAGCAATGAGCAGCAGTCGTGCATTCTCTCAACTCCCGTACCACCTGTACAGCAATGAGCAGCAGTCGTGCATTCTCTCAACTCCCGTACCACCTGTACAGCAATGAGCAGCAGTCGTGCATTCTCTCAACTCCCGTACCACCTGTACAGCAATGAGCAGCAGTCGTGCATTCTCTCAACTCCCGTACCACCTGTACAGCAATGAGCAGCAGTCGTGCATTCTCTCAACTCCCGTACCACCTGTACAGCAATGAGCAGCAGTCGTGCATTCTCTCAACTCCCGTACCACCTGTACAGCAATGAGCAGCAGTCGTGCATTCTCTCAACTCCCGTACCACCTGTACAGCAATGAGCAGCAGTCGTGCATTCTCTCAACTCCCGTACCACCTGTACAGCAATGAGCAGCAGTCGTGCATTCTCTCAACTCCCATACCACCTGTACAGCAATGAGCAGCAGTCGTGCATTCTCTCAACTCCCGTACCACCTGTACAGCAATGAGCAGCAGTCGTGCATTCTCTCAACTCCCGTACCACCTGTACAGCAATGAGCAGCAGTCGTGCATTCTCTCAACTCCCGTACCACCTGTACAGCAATGAGCAGCAGTCGTGCATTCTCTCAACTCCCGTACCACCTGTACAGCAATGAGCAGCAGTCGTGCATTCTCTCAACTCCCGTACCACCTGTACAGCAATGAGCAGCAGTCGTGCATTCTCTCAACTCCCGTACCACCTGTACAGCAATGAGCAGCAGTCGTGCATTCTCTCAACTCCCATACCACCTGTACAGCAATGAGCAGCAGTCGTGCATTCTCTCAACTCCCGTACCACCTGTACAGCAATGAGCAGCAGTCGTGCATTCTCTCAACTCCCGTACCACCTGTACAGCAATGAGCAGCAGTCGTGCATTCTCTCAACTCCCGTACCACCTGTACAGCAATGAGCAGCAGTCGTGCATTCTCTCAACTCCCGTACCACCTGTACAGCAATGAGCAGCAGTCGTGCATTCTCTCAACTCCCGTACCACCTGTACAGCAATGAGCAGCAGTCGTGCATTCTCTCAACTCCCGTACCACCTGTACAGCAATGAGCAGCAGTCGTGCATTCTCTCAACTCCCGTACCACCTGTACAGCAATGAGCAGCAGTCGTGCATTCTCTCAACTCCCATACCACCTGTACAGCAATGGGCAGCAGTCGTGCATTCTCTCAACTCCCATACCACCTGTACAGCAATGGGCAGCAGTCGTGCATTCTCTCAACTCCCGTACCACCTGTACAGCAATGAGCAGCAGTCGTGCATTCTCTCAACTCCCGTACCACCTGTACAGCAATGAGCAGCAGTCGTGCATTCTCTCAACTCCCGTGCCACCTGTACAGCAATGAGCAGCAGTCGTGCATTCTCTCAACTCCCGTACCACCTGTACAGCAATGAGCAGCAGTCGTGCATTCTCTCAACTCCCGTACCACCTGTACAGCAATGAG